TCAGGACAGCACCTTGAGAGCCCTTGGCTCCTCCCCACCTGAGGAAACACCTCCACCCAGAATAAAAGTACAGTCTCCCCACTCCAACCTCAGTAACTGTGTTTCCTCCACTGGGGAGGCACGGACTTGGAAGCTCTTCCAGGGGTGGTCAGAGGATCACTCTGTGGCTGGAAGATGGGGAAGGGGGGGAGGAGTATAGACCAGCTGTTGTATGTATGGGTGCCCCCACACTTTGCAGAAGGGGGGACTGACCCCCTCGGCACAGGGGGTGTCCCTTACATGCATCTCGCTCCACCCCGACCCCCACCTGGGGACGTCCGGGGTGCCTGCACTCCAGTGCCCAGGGGGACCGAGGGAGAAGCACCGCTGCCCCATGACGTGTTGGCAATGGAGGACATCACTTCCGGCGGAAGGGCGGGAATTTCTTCTGGGACGCAGCTTCTGGCCCTGTCTCTTGGAAGCGTGGGTCGAAGTTCGGGCAGTGTAGAGGGCTGCATCCTGCAGAGGCAGGCGACGCAGCACCTCGGGGCGGACCACCACGTGGAACATGTTCGGAGCAGAGGCACTGGGACCAGGCAATGCCAGCACCAGCCAGCCTCAGGTAGGTGGCTCAGAGGAGCTTTGTTTTCCTACCTGTTGGGCCCCTAGCTCCAGGGGGTGTCCTCAGCCCTCTGGGTGGTCGGAGGGGCTTAAGCGGAGGAGGTCTCAGATAGTAGTCTTCCAGGAGAAGGGGGGATAGGATTGGTCAGCCAGTCCCTGTGGTTAATGGGAACCCCGGTTCTGTTTGCATATTACAGGTATAGGCCATGAAATATCCCAAGCCACACCATGGAGCTAAAAGGAAGTGCCCCTCATGCAAAATGACCATCAAGGACTCCTGGACGAAGGTGCTGTGTGAGTCCTGTATTGAGGGCCTGATCAGGGAGGAAGTTCCTTCTCAGGGGGATCTGGTTAAGTTGGTTAGGTAACTGACAGCTACCTTTGATTCCTATTAGGTCTCTAGTTGAGAATTTAGCTCTGTCCCAGACACAGACAGCACCCCTTCCCCCCAACAGATCGAGGTTGCCCTGACAACCAGTAGGGAGGCAGGGGGTCCAAGAGGCGAGTTGGCGGAGGAGGGCCCATCCCTGAACTCAGATTCAGAGGCAAACTCTGAGGGGGAGGGCCCCTCGAGCAAGTCCAAAGGCCCCTTTAGATACAAGTTGTCCCTAGAAGCGGTTGATGACTTACTAGGAGCCATTTATGCTATCTTGGACATTAAGGAAGATAAGAAGCCCCTTACGTTGCATGCTCAAATGTATCCGGGTATGGAGGAACAAAAGCATTTTTCAGTCTATCCCGTCCATGGAGTACTGATAGAAACCATAAAGAGGGAGTGGCAGGATCTGGAGAGAAAGCCCTTTGCCACATCTCTCAAGCACAGGTTCCAGTTTGACGTAGACTTGCCCGCAGTGTGGAATAATCACCAAGCTGGACGCAGCTTTTTCTCAGGTATCCAGGAAGATGGACCTTGCCTTTGAGGACATGGGGGTCTTGTCTGACACCATGGATAGAAGGGCGGATTCCCTTCTTAAAAAATCCTGGGACTCCACACTATCCAACTTAAAGCCAACCATGACCACTACAGTGGTAGATCTGAACATGCAGTATTGGCTTACACAGCTACCGACCCATATCGTTGCAGGATCCCCGAAGGACAAAATATCCTCCTTCCAGACTTTACTGCAGGGGGTGGGCTATATTTCGGATGCCTTAGCAGAGTAAGTAAGGATGATGGCTAGGCCAGCAGCCATAATTAACTCTGCCCACAGAGTCCTGTGGCTCAAGACATGGCAGGGAGACATTGCCTCCAAAGGTAAGATTTGTGGCATCCCGTTCACAGGAGACTTCCTTTTCGGCCCAGGTCTTGAGACGGTGCTGGATCGCACCGCAGACAGGAAAAAAAGCCTTTCCTCTTAAGAGGAAGTTCCAAGTCCAAAAGTGGGTACAAGCCATCAGTCCAGAAGTACAGAAAAGGTCCTGGGTGCAAAAAGGAAGGGGCAAGGGTGGAGCGATTTTCCATCCTCCTAAGCAGACCCAAAAATCGCAATGACTGTGTTCCCCCCGGTGGTAGGAAGATTGGGGGACTTCTTCCCACAGTGGGAAGCAGTGTCCTCCAGTCCCTTTATCCTAGGTATAGTGAGAAGGGGGTATCGCCTGGAATTTCGGAGGCCGTTGCCACAGAAATTATTAGTGACGGAGCTCCCAAAGTGTGTATAGAAGGCCTCATCCCTACTCTCTTCTTTGCAGGAGTTGGAGGAGCAGAGGGTCGTTGTCAGGGTCCTCGCTGCAGAGATCGGCAGGGGTTTCTATTCCCACGTCTTTGTGGTCAGAAAGCCCTCAGGAATGTACAGGCTGATTCTGAACCACAAGCCCTTGAACGAGACCATCAAATACAAAAGATTCTGTATGGATTTTATTTTCTCGGTCAGGTCTCTTCTTCCCCCCAAATGCTTTCTGGCCTCAGTAGACCTAAAGGATGCTTACTTACACATTCCTACTGCAGAGGCCTTTCAGAAATGCCTCGGGTTGGCAGTACGGGGCCCCAGGGAAATACTTCACCTGCAGTTCCGAGCCTTGCCCTCTGGGCTTTCCTCCTTGCCCAGGATTTTCACAAAGATTTGACTGAGGCCCTGGTGTATCTTCGTCTAAGGAGAGTCTCGCTGGTGGCTTACCTGGAAGATCTCCTATTGTTTGCAGACTCGGAACAGCAGTCGAGGGACATAACCTTGGTGATGAGCACCTGGAGAATCTGGGCTGGCTAGTAAACCTATCCAAGTCCAATTTGGTCACAGCCCAAAGGGTTGGTGTACCTGGGCTACAAACTGGATTCCACCCTTCAGAAGACCTTTCTGCCCCAGGAGAAAAATCCTAAAGTTGGACGGGAATCAAGCAGCTGCTAGGGAACCAGGCCGTGTTCCTAAGAGAATCCATGTCAGTATTGGGCCTGCTGACCTCGTCCATCCCGGCGGTGCAATGGGCAGGTTTGCACTTGCAACCCCTCCAGCTGTTCATTTTGGATGTCTGGGATCGCCGAAAGGTGTCTTTAGACTCCTTGATACAGGTAAACCCCCCCCCCCCCCCCGGGTGAAGAGGACCCTCTGGTGGTGAAGGAGGTCAGCAAATCTGACCCAGGGGTTGTTATGGGCCTTACCCATCTCCAGGGAAATTGCAATGGACATGAGCATCAGGGATTGGGGAGCGCACCTAGGAGGGTCCATGGCACAAGGTTCTTGGCTACCAGAAGAGAGGAACTGTCAGGAATGGACTGGCCAGCAATAGTGGGACTCATCTGCCTTATGAGCTGCAGTACCAGGGCTGGCCAGCGGGTGCTCCCAGCAATCAGAGACTCAACCTTGCAGCCAGTCAAACACCTGGAACTAATTATACTGGTGTATTTAAGGGATGGCCAGACCTGCAGACTCTGCCTTGGTGTGTGTGTTTTTCCTGGGCCCGGTATCTTGTAAACCTGCGTTCCTGTTCCTGTTCCTGTCTTGTTGCTGACCCTGCTTGATTCTGACCTCTGCTGACTTCTCCTGTTCTGATCCCTGGCTTGTGACCCTGACCATCCCTCTGCCTGACCCTCTGTACCACGCTGCCTGCTACCTGCTGAACCTGGCCTGTGTCCCCGACCATTCTCCGCTTGCTCCCCCTGTACCTACCTGCCCAATTGATATTGACCCCGGCCTGCCTGACGACGCTTGCATTGTATGTACTGTTATCTGTGGGTGGTTGGTTGGGTTTGTTTGCACTGTGTTATGTTTTAGTATTGCACTGCGTTTATGCTTGTATTGTTAGTGTTAATAAATTATATTGTTTATAACATATCTGAAGTCTGCGTTTCCCTGCGTCAGTCACACACCTCTGGTCATACCCGGGAGCCCTGACACTACACCAAGGCCAATCCTGACCAGAAGTGGCTGCACAGGGAAGCCATCTTGGTTTGTTGATGGGAAGGATGGATCTTGATGAGGTTGTGTATTTATATCTGCTAGTGTTTGATGACAGAGAGTATGCTTATCAAACTCTGAAGGAGTATCCCCGGGATGAACTGCTAGAATGTATACGGCTCGCTCATGTTCTAGTAGATCAGGGCACAGAATTCTCTGAGGTGCAGCCATTGATTCAGGTTTGTGCGGAGTTGGTTTCATCTGGTACCCCCGAATGCAGGGATGAATTTTTGCCGCCATTTAGTGCTGACCAGGTAGAGTCCCTGGTATGGTTATTAGAGGATGATGTGGATTGCTTCTTGGAGCATTATGCTGCATGTTCACCACAGACACTAAGAGATTGTATAAACGCAGTGCAGTCTTTGGTCAGACAGGCTTTGTGTAAGCTCAGCTTTGTTCAACCCATACTGCAGACATGGACAGATTTGTTACACCCAGCCTCAGTCAGCTTACAAAAACCCAGTCCTGCTTCTAATCTATTTCTTCAAAGCTCTATTCCTGCATTCCCAACAGCTCCTCCTTCCCTGCTATCTACCGCATGTCAGTACCCTGTTCCCACTTGCTGCACCTATCCTGCCTTTAACCCTGTAAAAAAGCCCTCTGTAGCAACTGCTCCCTCCTCTCTTCCATCCTCCAGCTCTTCTCTGTCTCCAGCTGCTCCATTCGTTTGCAGACCTGCGTTTACTTGCAGTGCTCCAGTAGTTAAAACCAGAAAAAAGCGAAAATTCTTTCCAACCAATACCATCCTGCCAGTATCCAAACCGGTGAGCCTGCCGTCTGAGAACCTGCCTTCCGTGGTTCAGCCTGATGCCTCTCTTCAGCCTGATGCCTCTACTCAGCCTCTACTCAGCCTGAAGCCTCTACTCAGCCTGAAGCCTCTACTCAGCCTGAAGCCTCTACTCAGCCTGAAGCCTCTACTCACCCTGAAGCCTCTACTCAGCCGGATCCCTCTACTCAGCCGGATGCCTCTACCCAGCATAATGAACTGATCCAGCCTGATGATCCTATTAGGCCAGTTGACTCGATGCCCGCTGTTGATCCAGATGATCTGGTACCTGGTCCGGTGCCCGCTGTCGTGCCAATTGACTCAGAGCCCACTGTCGTACCTGGTGACTCGGTGCCCACTGCCTTGCCAGATGACGCGGTGCCCGCTGGCGAGCCAAATGACCTGATGCCTGGTGACCCAGTGCCCGCTGTCATACCTGGTGACCGGATGCCCGCTGTCGAGCCAGACGATCCAATGCCAGGCGACTCGGTGCCCGCTGTTCCGCCAGTTGACTCGATGCCCGCTGTTCCGCCAGGTGACTCGGTGCCCGCAGTCTTGCCAGACGACTCGGTGCCCGCAGTCTTGCCAGACGACTCGGTGCCCGCAGTCTTGCCAGACGACTCGGTGCCCGCAGTCTTGCCAGACGACTCGGTGCCCGCAGTCTTGCCAGACGACTCGGTGCCCGCAGTCTTGCCAGACGACTCGGTGCCCGCAGTCTTGCCAGTTGACTCGGTGCCCGCAGTCCGCCAGGCGACTCGGTGCCCGCAGTCTTGCCAGGCGACTCGGTGCCCGCTGTTCCGCCAGTTGACTCGATGCCCGCTGTTCCGCCAGTGACTCGGTGCCCGCAGTCTTGCCAGACGACTCGGTGCCCGCAGTCTTGCCAGACGACTCGGTGCCCGCAGTCTTGCCAGACGACTCGGTGCCCGCAGTCTTGCCAGACGACTCGGCCCCGCTGTCTTGCCAGACGACTCGGTGCCCGCAGTCTTGCCAGTTGACTCGGTGCCCGCAGTCTTGCCAGACGACTCGAAGCCCACTGTTGTGCCTGGTGACTCGGTCGGTGGCCCCGCCGCTCCGCCTGGGGGTCCGGCGCCCGCCCGCCGCTCCGCCTGGGGGCCGGCGAGACCTGTCGCTCCGCCTGGGGGTCCGAGACCTGTCGCTCCGCCTGGGGGCCTGGCCCCGTCCGCTCCGCCTGGGGGCCTGAGACCTGTCGCTCCGCCTGGGGTCCGGCGCCCGCCGCTCCGCCTGGGGGCCCGAGACCTGTCGCTCCGCCTGGGGGTCCGGCGCCCGCCGCTCCGCCTGGGAGGGGGCCCGAGACCTGTCGCTCCGCCTGGGGGTCCGGCGCCCGCCGCTCCGCCTGGGGGCCCGAGACCCGATGTGCCTCTGCCCGGAGTCCAGCCCGATGTGCCTCTGCCCGGAGTCCAGCCCGATGTGCCTCTGCCCGGAGTCCAGCCCGGTGTGCCTCTGCCCGGAGTCCTGCCCGGTGTGCCAGTCTTTGATATCCCGCCAGTTACCAGACCCGGGCGGTGGAACATTTTGCCCAGCTAGGACTGTTTGGAGCGTCCTGAGGCCGCTCCTTGAGGGGGGGGTACTGTCAGGAATGGACTGGCCAGCAATAGTGGGACTTACCTGCCTTATGAGCTGCAGTACCAGGGCTGGCCAGCGGGTGCTCCCAGCAATCAGAGACTCAACCTTGCAGCCAGTCAAACACCTGGAACTAATTATACTGGTGTATTTAAGGGATGGCCAGACCTGCAGATTCTGCCTTGGTGTGTGTTTTTCCTGGGCCCTGTATCTTGTAAACCTGCTTTCCTGTTCCTGTTCCTGTCTTGTTGCTGACCCTGCTTGATTCTGACCTCTGCTGACTTCTCCTGTTCTGATCCCTGGCTTGTGACCCTGACCATCCCTCTGCCTGACCCTCTGTACCACGCTGCCCGCTACCTGCTGAACCTGGCCTGTGTCCCCGACCATTCTCCGCTTGCTCCCCCTGTACCTACCTGCCCCATTGATATTGACCCGGCCTGCCTGACGACGCTTGCATTGTATGTACTGTTATCTGTGGGTGGTTGGTTGGGTTTGTTTGCACTGTGTTATGTTTTAGTATTGCACTGCGTTTATGTTTGTATTGTTAGTGTTAATAAATTATATTGTTTATAACATATCTGAAGTCTGCGTTTCCCTGCGTCAGTCACATACCTCTGGTCACACCCGGGAGCCCTGACAGGAACAGATCCTCAAACTGGAAAGAACTCAAGGCGGTATTGCAGGCCCTTGTGGCCTTCCGGGAACAGCTATGGGGCCAACACGTGCGGACCTTCTCGGACAACTCCATTGTGGCGTATGTCAACACACAGGGAGGGACTCGAAGCAGGACTCTGTGGTCCCTGGCCTCAGAGCTGCTCACCTTGGCGGAGACAAATGCAGCCTCCTTATCTGCCAACCACCTGAAGGGGGATCTGAACCAGGTGGCAGACTTTCTCAGCAGGAGGCTGCTGAGGGAATCAGAATGGGTGCTCAATGGGGAGATCTACCAAGCCATCATAAGGGAGTGGGGGGTCTTTGTCCATAGACCTTTTTGTGTCGGGCCAAAGTACCAAAGGTCTTGTTTTCTTCTCTAAACCAGTGGGACGTGGCGTTGGCAGTGGATGCACTAACACTTTCCCCTGTGTTATGCCTTCCCCCCCAGTCTCCTTATTGCCAGCAGTTCTGAGGAAATTCAGATCTGAGTGAACCTCCCTAATCCTGATAGCCCCGTGCGGGCCCCGACAAGCTTGGTTTTCGGCCCTGGCCATCTACCCTCCTTGGATATTGCCGTGCCAAAAGGACTTGCGGTCCCAGGGTCCGGTTCTGTGTCCCCAGTTAGATAGATGGAACCTAGCGGCCTGGTTTCTGAGGAACAACTGCTGAGGAGGAAGGGGTTCATAGCTAGGGTAGTATCCACTCTCTTAAATAGGACAGTGTCGCTTCCTTGGTGTCCCTGAAGTTCTGTTTGAATGAAGAGCAATGAATTTGTTGGGCCCACTGGTTAAATTCACCCAAGTCACCAATACATCTTGGTGTTCCTAGACTATACCACACAATACCATGAAGCTATCCTTTTGCTGAATGCCTCATACAAAACAATTGGCCATGAACTGTTCAGTGGGATGGACTTTCCAAAAGAAATGCTTACCAACCAGGGCACTCTGTTCATGTCAAGGATTATAGCAGATTTATGCAAGTTCTTTCAGAATAAGGAACTCTGTACATCTACCTACCATCGGCAGAGAGATGTCCTGGTGGAACAATTTAACAAGACCCTAAGCGCAGTGCTTAGGCAGGTGCTGCCAAAGGATGGGAAAGATCGGGATTGCCTTTTGCTGGCACTCTTCTTTGCCATACAGAAGATGCCTCAGGACTCCATGTGGTTCTCACCCTTTGAATGGTATATGATTGAAGACCCCAGGTATTGCTTGACCTAATGAAAGAGTTGAGTCCACCCCCCGAATTTGTAAAGTGCACAGAATTCATAATGCCAGTGCAGGGAGGAAAAAGTATGTGAACCTTTGGACTTAATAACTGGTTGACCCTCCTTTGGCAGCAATGACCTCAACAAAACGTTTCCTGTAGTTGCAGATCAGACCTACACAACGATCTGGAGTAATTTTGGACCACTCCTCTTCACAAAACTGTTTGTGTAGCAATATTCTTGGGATGTCTGGTGTGAATCGCTCTCTTAAGGTCATGCCACAGCATTTCAATTGGGTTGAGGTCAGGACTCTGACTGGGCCACTCCAGAAGGCGTATTCTGTGCTGTTGCAGCCATTGTTTTGTTGAATTACTTGTATGCTTTGGGTCAATGTCCTGTTGCATCATTCATCCTCTGCGGAGCTTCAGTTGGCGGACAGATGGTCGTACGTTTTCCTGCAAAATGTCTTGATAAACTCTGGAATTCATTTTCCCATCAATGACAACAATCCGTCCAGGCCCTGAGGCAGCAAAGCAGCCCCAAATCATGATGCTCCCTCCGCCATGTTTTACAGTGGGGATGAGGTTTTGATGTTGGTGTGCTGTGCCTTTTTTTCTCCACACATAGTGTGGTGTGTTCTTCCCAAACAACTCAATCTTGGTTTCATCTGTCCACAGTATATTTTGCCAGTAGTGCTGTGGAACATCCAGGTGCTCTTTTGCAAAGTTCAAACGTGCTGCAATATTCTTTTTGGACAGCAATGGCTTCCTCCGTGGTGTCCTCCCGTGTACTCCATTCTTGTTTAATGTTTTCCTTATTGTAGATGTGTCAACAAAAATGTTAGCATGTGCCAGAGATTTCTGTAGGTCTTTAGCTGACACTCTGGGATTCTTCTTTACCTCATGCAGCATTCTGCGCTGTGCTCTTGCAGTCATTTTTACAGGACGACCACGCCTAGGGAGAGTAGCAACAGTGCTAAACTTTCTCCATTTGTAGACCCTCTGTCTTACCGTGGACACATGAACATCAAGGCTTTTGGAGATACTTTTGTAACCCTTTCCAGCTTCATGCAAGTCAACAATTCTTGATCGTGGGTCTTCTGAGACCTCTTTTCTGCGAGGCATGGTTCACATCAGACAGTGCTTCTTGAAACCAGTAAACCCAAAACAGGTGTGTGTTTTTTAAGGGCAGGACAGCTGTCAGCAACACATCCAATATCATCACACTGATTGGAGTCAAGGTTGGCTCACTCCTGGCTCCAATTAGCTCTGGGAGAAGTCATTAAGCTAGGGCCTCACATACTTTTTCCTCCCTGCACTGTGAATGTTTACATGTTATGTGCAATTAAACCATGGCAACATCTAATGTTTGTGTAGTATTATGTTCAGCAGACTGTGTTCTTCTATTGTTGTGACTTAGATGACGTTCAGAGCACATTTTATGCCCAATTTATGCAAAACTCCACGTAATCCCAAGGGGTTCACATACTTTTTCTTGCAACTGTATGTTAAGGGAAAATTAATTGATGAATACAGCAGAAGAAAGGAAAATTTGCATAGTGAAGAGAACGAGAGACCAGAGGCAGCCCTGAAGGTGCATGAAGGCATAAGACAAAGCAAAGAAACCAGGGTATGTTTTCGCTGCAAAAAGGCTGGTCACCTGAAAAAGAACTGTTCAATCTGGAAAGCTGAGCAGCGAAAGCGGGAGCTACCCACAAGAGAGAGAGCTAAAGCAGTCATGAAAGAAAATGAAAGTGCATCATGGAGTGGTACATTTAAAGTGACTCAGAATAGTACCTCACACGGATGGTACATTGATTCACAGAAATTGATTTTAGTGTAAAAGATAGTCTTCCTAGCAAATGGGAAAAGTATTACAGCGGAAGGTAATGGTCAGGGACTTCTGAACTGCAAAATGCCATCAGGGGGCAAGCAGAGCATCCTTGTAAATAATGTTCTATATGTTCCAAGCCTAGAAGGAAGCCTCCTATCAGTTAAAACCCTTGCAAGCAATGGACTCACTGTCCAGTTCAGAGGTAATGAATGCACAATTCAAAATGGAAAGCAAATTCTAGCAAGAGGAAGGTTAAATGAACATCTGTACAAACTCGTCACTGAAAGTGAGAAGGCTAATGCGGCAACTCATAACCCACATGACAAGTGCATCCACCTGTGGCATAGAAGATTGGGGCATCGAAACCCAGAAGCTATAAAGGACTTTGCAAAGAGAGGTCTATCAGAAGACATGAAAATATTGCCTTGCCACACACTCAGCAAGTGCACGTGTTGCATCAAA